TTCCAGCAGCCTCTGGGAGGAAGAAAGCTTTGACTGCGTGTTCTTCCCATCTCATCACCTAATCCATTGCCTACGGGAGCTGCATTGCTCTCTACACACGTCCTGCAGAATCTGTTTCCTTGAGCACCAACAGAATTGTAGCTCTGCTGAATACAGTCCTGTACCCATTCTTAAACCCATTCATCTACAGCCTTCGGAACAAACCTGTGATCCTGGCCCTGAGCAAATCCATTGCAAGGGCAAGAACAAAGCTTTTCCCCTAACCATGGTGCATTTCTGGAAAGCCATCCCAAGAATCTGGTGTCATCTGTTACACAATAGCAGTGCCTGTGAGTGCAGCCTCCAAACAGGGCTGCCTCAGGTCAAGAGATAAGAGACTCATCTGCACACCCAGACATGGCACCGACAATGGCAAGAGGAGAAACTCAGTTCATTCTCTGCCCTGGCTGCTCCCAGGACCATTTACTGGAGAGCCACCAGCTCATTAAGGGCCAATCTGCGTAACAGAGAAGAGTTCAGAAGAACAGCGGCAAGTGACAATCCAAATTACAGCTCCTGGGCGAAGGACATCTTGTCCAGCTCCTTCCCTGGGACAGCCAGCAGCCCCAGTGTCTAGGTTTGGAATCGCAAAGTCACTGAGAGCAGGTGGGGAAGACTGGGGGGAATTGGAAAGGGACCGGGAAGGAACTCAGGTGTATTGGGAGGGACTGGTCTGTACTGGGAGGGACAGGAGAGGGTGCATTGGCTGCTCCCGCCTCCACCGCCTCCCATTTGCCGAGGCTCCCGCCCATCACAGCCTGCAGCCATTCAGCGCCAGAGGCCGGGGCCTCGAGAGGGGTGCCTTGGGTAGGTGCCGTATGTTCTGGTTTTGCCTACAACTCCCATCATGCCCCGCGGGCCGATTGAGCCCAATTGCAGCCAAAACAACAACGCCCGTCATGTCCCGCGCTCCACAGAACCTCCAGGATCCCACAGTGCCCCCTCAGCGCCCATTCGGGACTCCCATAAGCACCCCCGAACCCCTGAGTGCTCCCACCCCCACAGATGGCCGGTACAGCCACTTCTGGGAATTCATCTCCTCTCGTCCCCCGCGGCTCCAGAGCCCCTCAGAACACAGTCCCGCGCCTAAAACTCCGGCCACAACCCGCGCCCTAAAGAGCCTGGTTGGAGCTCTCCGAGCTTCTCCCAAGGTCTCCCGTGCCGTTTACGTTCCCCCAGAAGATCTCAAGTCGGGGCTCGGACACAAAGGTGTCCCCCAAGAGCCGTCCCGGACTCCCAAACATTTCGTTCCAACCACTTCCAGGACTACAGCTCCCATCATGCTCCGCGGCGCACGACCAGCGCCATTCCAGCCGGGACTTCATCTCCTCTCATGCCCTGTGCCACACCGAGAGCCATTGCAGCTGCGCCCAGAACTCCCGTGATGCTCCGCGGCCCCGTTAAACCGTATGATACCCGCGCTTACAACTCCCATCACCCCCCGCACCCCAGACAGCCCCGTTCGAGGCCCCTAAGGGCCCGCCCGGACCCCAAAGGGCCCCAAATTCCCCTCCGTGACCTCCAAGGGTCCCCCTGGACCCCCAAGTGCTGCCCCGGACCCTGAACTGTCGCTCAGAATCCCTGAGTGCCCCTCCAAGTGCCCACCCGGCTTCCCCAAGTATCCTCCAGACCCTCAAGTTCTCTCTGAATTCCCTCCCCAGACCCAAAACTGCCCCAAATGTGCCCCAGAAATGTCTCCGGGAACCTCGAAGTGCACTGCCCCCCCAACCCTGTCTGAGAAAAAGATGATAAAAAAGATGACAAAAAGACTACAAATATACCTAATTAACGTAAAGAGAAAGAAATAAATAGCCAATAGAAATTAATTAATTAATTCATGAAGGGAATTGTGTTACTTGGAACCAATGATGAATAATTTTCTTGGTTGCTAGAAATGTATCAAATTTTAATATAAATATACAAATTAGGTAATAAAAATATTGTCTAAGACTATCCTAAATAAAAATAATATAACTCTAATTTTGTTATTAATAAATTTTATTTATAAGGAAAAATGCTTAAATTTTTCTTTTTTTTTGGGATGTCAGTCCCAGGTGGGCGTTGTCAGACATGGTGAGACTGGGGGTGAGGAGCCGATTGTCCAAACAGGCTCAGCCTGCTCATTCTTCTCCATGCCCAGACCTCCTAAGGAGACATTCAGCATCCAGATCACCTAGGGAATGCTTCTATCCCCTCTTCTCATAACTAAAAAATAAAAAAATTCTGATGTGATTAAAAAAACAAAAATCATGAGGTGCATTTTGACATCTTCCTCCTGAAGATAACTCCAAACTGACTCCAATCACTCTACAAGCCCTGGAGACTCAAAGACAATGGAAGGGAGACAAAGAGCTCCTGAGCGCTTTCTGTATTTTAATCAGCCCCACGCTGGATTTGGGGCTGGGTCCAGGAGCCTCAGGCACGCAGAGAAGGATGGAGAAGCTGCTGAAGGAGTCAGCAGCAAAACTGCAAGTGCCTTGGAGCATGGCTGGGCCCCAGTGAGGGCAGGGAGTGCCCAAGGCTGCCCAGGGCCTGGTGAGAGCACATCCTTGAGGGCAGGATTGCAGGGAGCCCAAGGCTGTGAGCAGGGAACTGCAATGCTGAGCAAGGCCTGGCTTGGCTGCAGGAAGCAGAAAGGCCAAGCCCTGAGCCCAGCCTGGGCCAGCAGGGCCTGTCCCTCACGGCTGCCTCGGGGCTCTTGGTGGGCCAGGGGGATGTGAGGCGCGGCAAGGACAAAATGCATCAACCTGCAGACCCTGCCAGCCTCCCCAGGGAGGCCGAGGGAGAAGCAAAGTGCAGCCCCTGCCAGGAAAGTTCCTCCTGTGGGGCCTCCAGAGGCGCTGCCTGAGGCCAGGGCACAAAGGCCTGGGTGCCTGTGGCCCTGCCAGCCCTGCCCAGCCCTTGGCCATCTGTCCTGCAGGCTGTGCCCCCTGGGCGTGCTGCTCCTCTGCCCTGGCCGGCTGCACTCGCCCATCTCGCTGTGCCCCAGCATTTCTCACCCAGTGTTGCTGTGCCCTCCCTGGGCTCCCTGCACCCAGCGCTGCCGGCTCCTGGCACACAGAGCCCGGCCATGGCCCAGCCTCACGCTGCCACACCTCCAGCACCAACATGCTGCCCTGCGAGGGACTTTGCTTTCTTCTCAGTACCAGGCTGAACCTTCCAAGGTGCACTTTGGGGAGGTTTCCTGCAATTCCCACTGCCAAGGAAAGCTCTGTCTCTTGCTGGTCACAAACAGAGAAGGGCTGGTGGGAGATGTGGTTGTCAGACGCTGTTTGGGGCACAGTGACCATGAATTTATTGATTTTTTAAACATTCTGAGAAAGGAGGGGCATCAAAGAATCTTGTACGTTGGAGTTACAGAGAGCAGACTTTGGCCTATTCAGGACTGGTTTGGGGAGTACGACCTCAGGTACTGATTTTTAAAATCAGCCCTTAAAAACATAGCAGCCCTTAAAAACAAACGTGTCCAGGAAGGATGGACACCTTTCAAGAAAGAAATTTTGAAGGAACAGAAGCATCCCAAAAGTGATATGCCAAGGAAAATGAGTGGTCTGGCTGGGTAGGGAGCAAATTAAATTATACCCCTTAAATGACAAAATCATTATGTAGCCAAATGCAGGACAGGCAGGCAACTCAAGAAATGTTTGAGGATGTTCCTAGGTAATGCAGAAAGAAAACTGGAGAGGTGAAAGCTCAATTAGGACTTAACGTGGCCACTTCTGTGAAGGTTAATAAAAATGATTTTATAAATACATTAATGGCAAAAGGAGGGGTAAGGAAACCTCCATTCCTTGTTGGGGGGATATTGTTACCCATCATTTACCACCTGTCCTGGCTCAGCAGGGAGGTCCCAGAGGACTGGAGGTGCCAATGTGAGCCCATCCCCAAGAAGGGCTGGAAGGAGGAGCTGGGCAACTCCAGGCCTGTCAGCCTGACCTGAGTGCCCGGCAAGGTTATGGAACAGATCACCTTGAGTGCCATCCCAGGGCACCCACAGGATGGCCGAGGGATCAGAGCCAGCCAGCGTGGATTTCAATATCTGCACTGATGATCTGCATGAGGGGACTGAGTCCAGCATCAGCAAATTTGCAGATGACACCAAGCTGGGTGTGAGTGTGGATCTGCTGGAGGGTAGGAGGGCTCTGCAGAGGGACCTGGACAGGCTGGATCCAGGGCCCAACTCCAACAAGATGAGGTTGAACAAGACCAAGTGCCGGGTCCTGCACTTTGGCCACAACAACCCCTGCAGCGCTACAGGCTGGGGACAGAGTGGCTGTGATAGTGGAAACCTGGAAAAAGTTAAAGATAGAATCTAAAATGTTAGGCTTTGTGCTTTCCCAGATCAACTGCACCTGCGTAAGCAGTATGATAAATTATATAATTGTTAGATGTGATGATTGTTTAGTAATTAAATGTAATTATTATATAACCATAAGAAGAATAGTGAGAAACTATGTTGGAAATTCAGAGAGGGGCTAAATTTATGTATACAATAGAACAATATAAGTTTAATAATTAACATGAAAGTTATGTAACGATAGAGTATAAAACATGATCATTTCGGATGTATGGTCGGAGTCAGATTTGGGTTGAATATACCCCGATTCCCAGAGCTCTTAATAAAAAGCACCGCATATAATTGCTCTGTGCTTATGTGTTTTTGAACGCTAACAGCTGGACAGCAGCAAGCCAGAAAGGGACCTGGGGCACTGATGGACAGCAGGCTGGACATGAGCCAGCAGTGTGCCCAGGTGGGCAAGAAGGCCAATGGCTCCTGGCCTGGATCAGGAATGGTGTGGCCAGCAGGAGCAGAGCTGCGGTACTGCCCCTTACCTGCCCCCAGCTCTGCTCCAGACATTGCTGCTGCAGGTACAGAGAAAGGAAGAAAAGAGGGATTTCCAAGGAAAACTGCTGGGAGATCATTTAAAGCCACTGAGAGCACAGCTCCTTATTGACACTGTCTAGGGCTACAGCAATGATGGAGAGAAACCAAAAATCAGAAGTGGCATCAACAATTATTTTGTGGACAAGGTTAATAGACTAAAACAAAAGTAAAAAAAATGCCTCAACCAAAAAAAAAAAGAACTATCAAAGATGACTTTTTTTACAAGTGATTTGCAGAAACTGGCCAGCAATATAATGCTTCTGAAACCATCCAGTCATCAGTGTCCAGACTGCAGCCTTGAGCTCCTGGTTCCTCAGGCTGTAGATTAGGGGGCTCAGGGCTGGAGTCACCACTGAGTACAGAACTGACACTGCCAGATCCAGGGATCGGGAAGAGATGGAGGGGGGCTTCAGGTAGGCAAAAAATGAGGTGCTGACAAACAGCGAGACCACGGCCAGGTGAGGGAGGCAGGTGGAAAAGGCTTTGTGCCGTCCCTGCTCAGAGGGGATCCTCAGCACAGCCCTCAAAATCTGCACATAGGAGAAAACAATGAACACAAAACAGCCAAACAACAGAAAAGCACTAACCACAATAAGTCCAAGTTCCCTGAGGTAATGTGAGTGTGAGCAGGAGAGCTTGAGGATCTGGGGCACCTCACAGAAGAACTGGCCCAGGGCATTGCCATGGCACAGGGGCAGGGAAAACGTATTGGCTGTGTGCAACAGGGCATTGAGAAAGGCACTGGCCCAGGCAGCTGCTGCCATGTGGGCACAAGCTCTGCTGCCCAGGAGGGTCCCGTAGTGCAGGGGTTTGCAGATGGACACATAACGGTCATAGCACATGATGGTCAGGAGAGAAAACTCTGTTCCAATCAAGAAAACAAGCATAAATAGCTGAGCAGCACATCCTGAGTAGGAGATGTCTCTGGTGTCCCAGAGGGAATTGTGCATGGCTTTGGGGACAGTGGTGCAGATCATGCCCAGGTCGCTGAGGGCCAGATTGAGCAGGAAGAAGAACATGGGCGTGTGCAGGTGGTGGCCACAGGCTATGGTGCTGATGATGAGGCCATTGCCCAGGAGGGCAGCCAGGGAGATGCCCAGCAAGAGGCAGAAGTGCAGGAGCTGCAGCTGCCACGTGTCTGCCAATGCCAGCAGGAGGAAGTGCCTGATGGAGCTGCTGTTGGACATTCCTTCACTCTGGGCATGGTGGACTGTTGAAACAAGATATTGACAACCGGAGACCAAGCTCTTGGAAACAATCCTATGGGGTTATTTTAGAAATTCCCTCAAAACTATTTCTCTTCCTGTGGGGAAGCTTCTGTCAATATTTTATTCTTGATCTTGGGTTTATGCTCCTGAGTTACTGATTCATCTTAAGCACTGCTCTCAGCCTGAACCCCGTGGAAGGCCACAGGGAAAACAGGGCTCCCTCTGCCCCATTGCAGTCAGACCTGCTGGTCCCCACACAGGTGCCCTTTGCACATTCCACCTACCTGTAGTTCAGGGTGATCAAGCTTGAAAAATGAAGTCGAGTTTTTAAAGACTCCAGTTTAAAAGTAAATTTCTCTAAGCCCTTTTCCCTCTCCCTGTGCAGCTGGACAAGATGGGATACCAAGGGTTTTTCTGGCTCTCTGCAGCCTGGAGCTGTGCCTACGGGGGAGCTGTTTCTCTCTATCCAAGCCTTGTGCCTGCCAGTGCTGCCAGAGCCCAGCCCAGCCCTGGGGGCTCAGCTCTGCCCTGCAGACCCCTCCCAGCACAGGGCACTGCCCAGGGGCATCTCCCTGGCAGGGCCTTAAGAGCAGGCCAGACAAACAGAGATGCTGCAAGCCAAGGTGCTGCTGCTGCTGTCTGTAGGGAGAGGAGGCTGAGGAGGCACTTTCTGAGGGAGATCTGAGACCCATCTGCTGGTGCCCAGGGTGACAGTGCAGGAGTCTCAGTGACACAGACAAAGCTGACAGCCCCTTTTCTCTTCCCTTGAGGAGAAAGCTGAGAGCAGCCCTGGCCATGCAGCACCATCTCCAGAGCAGGAGGAATCTGCCCTGATGGGGGTGGCTCCTTCCACCTCCACCTTCTCCCCTGCAGCGTCCATGGGGAGCTGCCAGGCAGGCTGAGAGCTGCCCCTGGCAGGTAGCCCATGCCCTGGGCTGGCCAAGAGCCGTGAGGGCTGCAGGAGCTGCTCTGCAGGACAGCCCTGGGCAGCCCTGGCTGCAGCCCCAGCTTCAGCACCTGCAGCCGTCCCTGGCAGCAGGAGCCGTCCTGCCCTGTCCCTCTGACGGTGCCCAGGGCAGCCCCGCTCTGCAGCACATCCTCCTCCTCCTGTTCCTGTGCCCCAGAGAAACTGGGAAGTCGTCCTGACACATCCCCCAGGCTGTGAGTTGTGCTGGCTTCAGGAGATCCCTCCAGGAGCACAGGGGACATTGCCATGCACAGGGCTGTGAAGATCTTTCCCCAAGTGAAGTCTCAGCTCAATGTCTTCCCAATCCTAATTGCCTTTAGCCTGTCTCTGCCTGGCTCCTGTCCCTCAGAGCCTGCAGGCAGAGCCCTCAGCCGGGCTGGGCTGGGAGAGGAGCTGGCCCTGGGAAGAGCTGTTCCTTTAAAGCTCAGCAGCACAGACACAGCACAAGGATGTTAATGAGCCTCTTGGGGATTTGGTGTTGTTTACATCAGACCATTTCCCTGAGAGTGGCTTCAAAAACTTCTCAAGAACTCAAAATTAAATTGAAACTCTGAACTTTTTGAAGTTTTAATGGGTCCCACTGAGAAAGTGTCCCCAGGTTCCAGTTAGAGCAGAACACTGGAGGCAATGATGACAGCTTGGGGACAAACAAGGCTAAGGTGTCTCTGGTGCTGAGCAAAGCTGGATGTGTTTGAGGAATGCAAAGGGCCAAGGCCTGAGCCCCAGCCCCTGGCCAGACAGATGCTGTCCCTCCCTCCTTGCTCAGAGCTCTTGCCAGGATGGGCACTGGCATGTGGGGATGTGCAATGGCAAGGGCAGGAGCATGGGGCGGCCCCTGCCAGGCTGCTGAGCAGGGACAAGGAGGCAATGAGGCCCCAGGCCTGCAAGGGTCACTTGTCTCCTGCTCCAGCCTCAGGCCTAGGCCCAGCAGCCATGGCCAAAGTGCTGCCCAAGTTGGCTCTGGCAGGGCTGTCTTGCAGCTGCTGCACATGCCTGTGCCCTGTGCAGCCCAGGCTGGGCTACGGTGTCTCTGCCCTGCACCTGTTATAAATGAGAAGCTTGACTTGGCCAATATTCAAGCAGCAATCTGCGCGAGGGCGTTCACGGCCCTAAGTCCGGCAAGCTGAAAGGGTAAAGCGGCCGACGCCCCTGCGCGTCTGAGGCCAGCCCCCCTTGGCGTCCTGGCCTCGGGCTGGGCTGGATTGCGGACTTGGGTTCGCGCTGGACGAGACGAGAGAGGAGGCGACCACTTGCTGGGGGTAAAACATCGGTTTATTGAAGAGCCCACATGCAGCACAGGGCAAACCAACAGGTGGAAAACCCACAGCAAAATGGCCCCGAACACGGGGGGAGACAAAGTTTTACAGGGAAGGGGTGGAGACGGGAGGGGAAGCCCAGCTAACCAATAGGGGAACATGTGGGGAGGTACATAAGAAAACTGACACAAGAACTTATCCAATAAACATAGAACAAAGGAGGGGCCCTGGGACGCCAGCCAACTACGACCCCCAGAGAGAAGAATGTTCTCGAAAGCAGGGAGGAGTGGGGGGTGATTGACTGGGCCCAGGGAGGAGGAAAACTTTACTTATATGGTGGGATAAGGGAGGAGCAGTTATGTAACTTGGGAGATTGACAAATAACGGGGGCAGGGGTAACCGTGGTAACATAACTGCCAAAGACACTGTGGTGGGAAAGCTGGAGGGGGAAGAACCGTCTTACAAAGAACAGGGGGGGAATAATACATAAAATGGGGGAACAAAACAAGAAACTTAAAAACACACTACAACAGCAATCAATTAATTATTTAATATGGTAAATATGAGCAATACAGCACTGGGTACAATGGGGGAAATTTTCCCTCCAACTGCACACCAACAGTTGAGGCTTACAGGTATTTATAGGGCTATTCATCAGCTTTCTCAGCAGTTTCTTTTCCAATTTTTACTCATCAGCACTTTCTATTCCCAATTTTGCTGTCGCAATTCTATACACTATTGTGATTAAATTTTTCTCAGTATGTATCCCAAAAAGGAGTATGCCCAAATGGTAGTGGTCCAGTTTCTGAAAGAAGAAAGATGGATCCCTTCTGGTCGAGTCCAGTTCCCCAGATGTGGCTCCACCTTTTGATTACAGAGACTATAAATCTAACAGTGATGTCAAGCTTCCCTTGGTCAAAAATGTAAATCCTCGAGTTTATGTTCATCTTCCTTTCTCAAGCTGCTTTTCTCTGTTTTGTTAAGGTGTGAGATAAGCAGGTTGCGTTTATATATATTCCAAAGCTATAGTTTCAAGGATACAAGCAATATTCTAAAATTACACTTCAAAAGGTTATTATTGCGGAGCTCTTTATCGATTAACTGCAAGCTAAGAGCAACATCCTTAACGCTTTAATTCAAATGCTCCTCAATCAACCAAGGTTAATTGCAAACAAAAGATAGGTTCAAAGGCCTTCTTCCATGCTTTATTTTTCTCAGTTATTATTAGAATTTGCAACCCTCCCATTGTTGGTCTCCACACGTATCGCAATCACAAATACACACATTGCCTGTTTGTACCTGACAGGAAACACAGCTTTGTATTTCACACGTGTCACAGCTGGCACTTGAAACACTGCATGTCCCCTGAGCAATACAGCATGGGTGATATTCCACCATCTAAAGGCTGCAAGATCAGCTGCACAGGGCATGGAGACTCAGCCTCGTGTGTGGGGGCTCAGCTGGCTGTGCTGCTAGAGCTGTACAGAGAGCTGATGCCAGAGGCTCTGTCTGCTGTGGCCACCTGAGCCAGTGGAATTTTCTGTTTCTTTAAGATTTTTCTTTTCTTCTTTTCCATTTTTTATCTCTATTGTAATAAATAAATTACAGCGTATATCAAATTCTACCTATTATTATATATTATAGGTTGCTGTAAATAAATAAATTCTAGAATGTGTTATGATACACAGACTGCCAGTGATAATGGAGCCCTGGAAAAATTTAGGGATAGAATCTAAAATGTTAGGCTTTGTGCTTTCCCAGATCAACTGCCAGTATGATAAATTATATAATTGTTAGATGTGATGATTGTTTAATAATAAATGTAATTATTATATAACCATAAGAAGAATAATGAGAAACTATGTTGGAAATTCAGAGCGGGGCTAAATTTATGTATACAATAGAACAATATAAGTTTAATAATTAACGTGAAAGTTATGTAGCGATAGAGTATAAAACATGATCATTTTGGATGTATGGTCAGAATCAGATTTGGGTTGAATGTACCCCGATTCCCAGAGCTCTTTATAAAAAGCACCGCATATAATCCCCCGTGATTATGTGTTTTTGAACACTAACACTGTCAATATGCTTCTGCTTTGTGAGGTTGGTCAAAAAACTTATAAAGTAAGTTGTACTATTAATTTCTTGGTCTGCTGCTTGGGATGTGAGCTGCTGGCATCTTCGCAATGTCACAACCACGTAATGAAACTGATGCTGAAAAATAAAACAGCTCAAGGCACGTTCCACAGCAGTGTCTTTCCCGTTTGTGATTTGTACATAGCCCCCGGCTCTCTCTATACAAGAGAGACTGTGCAAAGTACTTTACATTATTCGAATTTCATTAATTCTAATGTCATATATATTTCACGAAT